GCTCCTAAACAGATCGAACCTGCCCCCCCATTTCTTTTCCTCTTGCTTATTTCCTTAATTACTGTCTTCGTGTGAGCTATTCTTACTTGTCCTCCACCTTATTTCCCAGAGGCCTTAATAAGCAACTGGCTCTGCCATTAATTACAAGAAAAAATGACATGTATTAGATTACTATTTTCAAACCCAAATCATCACCGCTGACTACTACTTCACTGGGATATCATACTATAATGCTCATTCCATAAATGTACTGTTCTTACAACTCTTTGTGGTTGCAAAAGAATAAAATAAGAACAACCACATTCAAACGCCGCATGCCCTGCCCCAGGAGCCACTGGTGAAATACGTAAACCCTCAGGTAGAATGTTACTGCCCAAATAACCAACTGTGCTAATTATTATGATCTGCCTGTATGTAGTGTTACCCGGGGTTTTAAATTCAAATGCCTACAGAGACAAGGGAGTGACCCACAAGAGCCTAGCTAGACCTAAGGTGACTACATAGACACAGCATCGCTAGCCAAGGCCCGTGGTGTAGAAGAAATGTTCGTGAATCATGTACTTTATAAAGCAAAACTCACTTCCACTGATTTCATTCTGACTCACATCCACCAGAGATAGGATTTCTGAGACGTGAGTCTTTCTGGAAACAGACGGCCTCATCTTTCTCCGGAGGAGTGGCAAGTGGCTGATGGATTTCAGCCACTGACTTTGCAGCCCATTGCCTGACCCACAGTGCCACCAGAGCTCCCTTTGGAAGCTAGCCAAACCAAGCCCGCTGTCAGCGAGTCGCTTCCAACTGAGAGTGACCCCTATATAGGCCTTCGAAGGCTGTGCATTTTCTTTTCTTTCTTTAATCATTTTACTGGGGCTCTTCCAGCTCTTAGCACCATCCATCCATCATCCATCCATCCATCCATCCATCCATCCATCCATCCATCCATCCATTGGGTCAAGCACATTTGTACATAGGTTGCCATCATCATTCTCAAAGCATTTCTTTCTATTTGAGCCCTTGGTGTCAGCTTCTCATTTTTTTCATGGCTTCACCCACTTTTCTGTTGTTTGTCCCCCTTGGGGGGGGGGCGTTTTATACGTCAATCATTGTGACTGGTTCCCCCTTCCTCCCCCACCTTCCCCCTTACTCTCTGGGTATTGCAACTCTCTTATTGGTTCTGAGGGGTTTATCTGTCCTGGATTCCCTGTGTTGCGAGCTCTTATCTTACCAGTGTACATGCTCTGGTCTAGCCGGACTTGTAAAGTAGAATTGAGGGTCATGATAGTTGGGGAGGAGGAAGCATTAAAGAACTAGAGGAAAGGTGTATGTTTCGTTGGTGCTAAGCTGCACCCTGACTGGCTCGTCTCTTCCTAGTGACCCTGGCTATGCATTTTCAAGGAAGGTGGGAAGCCTCATCTTTCTCCTGAGGAGGTGTTGGTAGGTTTGAACTGCTGACCTTGTGGTTAGAAGCCCAACACATAACCCACTGTACCTTGAGGGCTCCTTTTAAACACCAAGGACGACGCTAGTGCAAGGAGTGATTCCACTTGAAATAAATTCCATGCTAGCTTGTGTAAGCTTGGGCAAGTCAGTTGCTTTGCCACAGGATTTAATTTCTTTTTAGCATGTCCAGCTTGGCCTCTGTGGTGCTGGCCACCTCCTTTGGTTCACCCTTTTCATTTCGTTAGGTAACAGATTCCCCCCTTGATCATAAGCTGTTAGCCCTCAGTCATAAATAAGCCTGCTGGCATTTACCAATAAACCTCAATGTAATGTCTTGCGTTTCATCAAGACCTAGCCAAGCTTCGCCGAACTTCTCATAGGAGCACCGACCACTGAACTGGAGAAGAGAGTGAGCCAGCTAGTCAGCCCTTCATAACCAAACCATCCTTCCCTGCGCCTATCTTTTTATTGTGGCAAGAATGTAGATAATCCAACAGTTGCCGTTCAACCTTTTTTGCATGTATAGTCCAGTGACTTTAATTACAGCCACATATAATCATCACTACTTTGCATTTCCAAATTTCTTTCCCCTTAACAGAAGCGCAGTGTCCCCTAAGCCATGGCTCCCCGCGCCCTCCCCTTCTAGCATTTTGTTTTGTGAAGTAAAAGTCCCAAAGGGAGATGCTCGAGTTGGATTTGTCCTACTGAAGACCCGTTTCGTTGTCTCTTTGTCTGTCTTGTTTCGGCTGTTCAGTTTTCTGAGGCGGCACTTGCCGCAGTTTTAAATAGATCAGGCTCCCGGGCTGTTTCTAACTCGTTACCACCTGGTCCATCTTGACTCCTGGCAACCCCTGTGTGTCAGAGTCGAACTGTGCTCCGTTGTCTCTTAAGTGAGTGATTTGGGGTGGGGAGCGGGGGCAGGGAGTAAATGACCAGGCCTTTCTTCCATCACATACTTGGGTGGACTTGAACCTTCAGCCCTTGCATTAGCAGCCAAATGCATTATGGTTAGTATCACCCAGGGATTTCAGGCCGTTCCTAGGCTATCCATCCTGGATCTCCATCACCTAGCACAGGCAAAGGCACATGGTAGAAATGGAATCCACTTTTGGAGAGGTGGCGCACATGTTAGGAAGGAAAACTAATGTGGCACAGAGAGCTTGAAGGATGGGCGGAAGTCAGCAGGATGAAACTGAGCGAGCATGACATTAGAGCCCAGCGCTTTACCTTCCAAGGAAATGGTGACATATGGGCAGGCTGGAGGAGACCTGGCGGGCTGCTGTGCTTACGGCAAAACCATAGGTGGTTTTGGCTGCCTGAGCTCAATGTCAGCCAAAGGTGACTGAGGAGTGAAAGCAGCTCAGGCACAACGATTGACAGCACGAAGCACAATCAGAGATGATTGTCCCACTATGTTCTGTTTGGGATCAACTGCATGTTCAGCCTCCTCTCTCCTGGGGTCCCAGGACCTGACCTCTATTCCAAGTACGGTCTGAACGGTTGCCGGTCGGCTGTGAGGTAAGCATCGGATTCAGAGTGTTTTAGAAACCTCTCTAGCAGTGTCACAGCATGGCGCAGAAGCTGGAGCACAGGCCTGCAAGTCAGACGTGGGTTCGGATGGCTCAGCCGGGACCAGCTGCACAGTGTGGGGAGGGCGCTGCCTTCTCTTGCCCATTGCCGAGTGGTGCCGCCTTTCCTTGTAAACGGCAGCCTAATGGTGTGTTTGTTTCTTTCCATCTCCTCTTCCGATAGAGTGGCCCCGGTCATCACCATTCATCCTTTGCCAGACACTCCGAAATAATCTACTGACTTGTTTTCTTGTTCTCATCAACCACCACCACCACCCCCACTGCACACACACCTACTTTCCATTCTTGAGTCAACAGTAAATGATCTTTTAAAAATGTAATCTAGATCTTGTTTTCAAAGGTTTTCCAAAGACTTCTTACACTTCTAACAAAGCCCTAATTCCTACTCATGACCTGGAAGGGAGACCCTGCATAATTGGACCCCTGCTGTATTTATTTCTCCAGGCGGAGGAGAGATGAAGGGACAGGCTGGTCCCATAATAGCACCTCCAGACTTAGTGGTGGGTTGGTTTTGCGATGGGCTGCTAACTACCAGGTCCTCAGTTCGAAACTACCAGCCCTTCTGCTGGGGGAAAACGAGGTTTTCTACTCCAAAACAGATTCCAGGTCTCAGAAACCCACCGAGGCAGCTCCGTAGGGTCACTTTGAGTCCGCCTTGAATCAGTGGCAGTGCGTTTTGAGAGGGAGCATTGGAGGAGTCCCTGAGTGACAGGGATGGTAAATAAGCCTGACTACTAACAAATATTTCCGGGCCAAGCCCACAAGAAACGTTTTAAAAGGCAGGCTTGGTGATCTTCGTCCAGTAGGCCACAGTCTTGAATCCCCTATGGAGTGTGGCCGTACTCTGTGTGCTTGGGGTCACCACCACTGAGTCGGCTAGGCCACAGCCTACACCAAGGGAGCATCTGGAAAGTGCTATGCCTGCAGCGAGTGCTTTTCCTGCCCAGGGCTCATCTCAGAGGCTGGGACACATACAATAAAAGCACAGCACCCCACCCCACCCCACCCCCACCCCCCTGTCAATTCCAACTCCTGGCAATGACCCTATGCCTGGAAAGCCTTATGGGAACCGACCAAGAGGAAAAACCAAACTCACTGCTGCAGAGCCCATTCCAACTCACAGTGACCCCATGGGGCCGAGGAGAGCAGAAGTGTCCCGTGCGTTTCGAGACTGCAACTCTTTAAGGAGCACAAAGCCTCACCCTTCTTCTCTAGAGCAGCTGGCCTGGTGGTTCGCCTCCCAATCGGTAACACACCACATTGCCAGAGCTACCTCATCTTTCTCCCCAGAAGTGGCTGGTGAGTTTGAACCGGTAACCTTGTGGTTAGCAGCTCAGTGCCACCAGGTCCCTCTTGAGACAAATAGGTGCTTAATGTTTAAAAGCCGCGTCTGTGAAACCGCGTTCTCCCGGGGCAGGAGCGGGTGCGGTAGTACCTGCTTCCTCAGGCCGATGTGGGATAGCCCTGGGGCACAACACGGAGACAGTGGTAGCTGCTGCCCAGCGCTTTCCTTTGCCCACGGAGTGTTTTCCCTGGGCTATTAAAATTAGAACCTGACACCCTTTGGGGTGTGGGACGTGGGTGGGGGTGTGTGTGAAACCTGCTCAGCGAGAATTCTGGGAGCTCCGGCCCCTGGAGCCCTGGCAGAGGCCAGCTGCAGAAACAAGCCCCGGGAGCGCTCCGCCTTTGCCTCGGGGCGCAGCCTGCACGCCGACCGGCCCTGGAAAGCCTGGTTCCGGGGGCGGGGGGGAATTGCCTCCTGCTGGAGCCGGGAGCCGAGAGGAGCGCAGGGAGTGGGAAAGGACTTCCTCCGCCTCCCTCGCTCCTGGCTTCCCCGCCCCTTCTGCTCCGCCAACCCGCTGCGGCGCCCGGCTGCCGCCCTGCGAGGGCGCGAGCGTGCTGCACCTCGGGAGCTGGGGCGGCTCGGCTGCGCGGAGCCCGGCCCAGCCAGCGGAGCCCGAGCGGTGCGGACAGCGGGTGCCGCGCGGCCGTGCCGGCCGACAGCTGCGGCTCTGCGACCCAAGCGGTGGCCAGGGATGCCGGGGCCGGCTCCCCCCACCAGGTAATGCCTGCCCTGCCCGGGGCACGCGCCCAGCGGGGTGTGCTCGGCGGGAGTGGGGTGGGGTGGGTTGGGGGTCTGACCCTGCCAGCTGCCTCGGGAGTGGAGACTCAAGGCCCGGTCGAATATTTAGGGTGCTTTGCCTCCCCCATCTTTTACGAGGCCCTGCATGAGAGGAGGGGGCAGTGGGAGGACCCATCAGCCGAGCCCACCCAGGGGCTAGGCCTGCCTTGGAATCCGGAGCTCTGCCCGGGCAGGGTGTGTAGGGGAAGCTGCCATTGGGGAACTGCTTGGCTTCTGGGAAGCCCTGCTCCTCTGCCCGGTGGCCTGGGAGATGCTTAGGCTGCCTTGGCTCCATCTGCTCGCCCTCCGGACCGTGGAGCGTTTTTCTCCAGCCCTGGGTTGCGGAAGGGGCCGGGGTTGGGGGTTGGGGGGGGAGCTTTTCTGATGAACTGGAGGTGGGAGACTCCGTGTGCTGAGACAGCCAGCCTTTTTCCTGGTCTGAGCATGGAGGGGCTTGATAGCCCGTTTGTAACTGGCGTTCTTAGGCGATCAGACTGTTTTGGGACCGTGAGCAGGTGGGTTCAAACCCTAGTGGGAATCCCAGTCCCCTCACCCTGTAGGAGACAGAGGTGAAATTGGGAAGCAGACCTTGGCGTTCTATCTTCCAGCCAGGGTGCATCACTGGCTGGACTTCATGGGCAAGGCAGAGGCTGAGCGAACCGATCCTGGATGTAGGGAGATGAGGCTGTAAGAAGCAGGTCAAAGTGTGTGTGAGTGGTTTCCTCTGAACGGCTCACGAAAGTACTGTTTATAAAGCGAGGCTGGCTTCTCTGAACCCTTGCCTTTCTCTGCCAGGTCAATGATAAGCCGTGGGGGCAGTGTAGTGACTTAGTAACTATAATTTTTTCCCCTTCTGGGTGATCTGGGACCAAGACACACATGTCGAGTCTGATAGGAACCTCCCTAGATGATTTCAGGTGTTCCTGCACCTTTTCTTTTCTCCCCACTTCCCTGTCACCTTCTGGCTCCTGGTCATTTCCCCCAACCTGCCTCTGACCTACCTCTGCTCCTACCCCACAACTTCTTCTTGCTCTTGGCCCCTCAAGCTTCCCCTTTCTTATCTCTTCCCCTTCATAGCCACTTCTTCCTTCCCTCTTTTGGATCCTCTACTCCTGGTTAGGCTTTCTTCTCATTTTTCTCAGTTTCTGGCTAAGCCTTCTCTTATTAGTAGGTTACTGTTTGTTAAGGACCCTTTGCTGTGGTGTTTGTGAGAAACGGACACTCCCTGTTTCTTACATAACTCCCTTGCTTGTCGATTTCTCCCCTGCATTCTTCCCAAGCTCAAGCGATCTTTCTGTTTGGATTTGTCCTCCCTCTTTCCTGGGGGTCCAGCAGGTCGGCTGAGGGATTCATTAAAATGAGAAGGCAGAGGCTTGAGCAGGAGAGCAAGAGGGTCCCTCAGGGCTGTGCTGTGCAGAGATGCAGACCCCGGTGCATGAGAGGAATGGCTAGGAGAGGACTAGCGATCCCCTGGCATGCCTGAGGCTTTGCTCGGAGGAAAGGAGGCTGACCCAGGAATCCAGACAAGAAGAGAGGAAAAGCTGTGGGAGTCCCCAACTCATTCACGGCCACCATTGACTTGATTCTGACTCATAGTGATCTGTTAGGGCAGAATAGATTCACCCTTTGGGTTTCTATTTCCAAGACTGTCAATCTTTTGGGGAGCAGATTGCCTCGCCTTTCTTATGCTGAGCAGCTTGAGGTTTTGAACTGCTGATCTTGAGGTTGGCAGCCCAATGTGCAATCCACTACACCACCAGGGCTCCATTCACCAAATTCACACCATCAAATTGATTCCAACTCACGGCTACTCTGTAACACAACAGAGCCAGTCACCCCTTTGAGTTTCTGAAGCTGTGAATTTTTGAAGGAGCACAACTTAAGTGCCATTGAGTTGATTATGACTCACAGGGACCCAAAGGACAGAGTAGAACTGCCTCGGTGGGTTTCTGTGACTGTACCTGTATGTGGGAGTAGAAAGCCTCATCTTCCTCAAAGCAGCTGGTTGCGTTGAACTGCTGACCTTGGGTTCACAGCCCAACACATAACCCACGATGCCACCAGGGCTCTTAAGAGGGATCATTGGGCTAGAGTTGGGGGTCATGGAGGGACCTGGAGAGTCCTGGGGGAGAAGAGTGTGACTTGATGGGAGCAGGGGTGAGTGTGGAGGGAGTGGCAGGGGAAGGACTACCGTGTAGGGTGAGGGAACCATGCAGGTTAATTCTCCTCCCCTCTGCAGGGTCAATATTTGAACTGTTTATTTCTACCCAAAACACATTTCTTAAGTATGTGCCTGAAGCAGGTGAATGAGAGGGGAAACAGAGATGAGACAAGGTGACCGTTTTCCTGGTACCCACGACCTTTTTGGAACGTGAAATGCAAATCCATACAAAAAACTCTGAATAAGACATCCATCTATCATCAAACATTCCCTGAATCAGCTGCTCCACGGTGGTGATGGTGCTGGGGTTTCAAACATGGAAATCAGACTCAGTGTCTGTCCTCCAACTAGTGCAAGTCAAGGAGTGTGGGTACCTGTGACATTCAGTGGTCAGGAGTTAGGGGCAGATTCAGAGGAGTATAGTGATGCCGAAGAGAGGGACTTTGGGTTCAAGAAGTCAAACTGGAGCAGGAACCTAGACTCAAATCTTCTTTAAGGTATTATCTATTCTCTACGCCATGTTAACGCCTAACCCCATGTCTACATATAGTGTAAAGCATTCTCTCCCCCCACCCATCAGTTTTATTGAGCTAAAAATCACGTACCGTACACTTCCAGAGTTCAGTCTAAGGCAGCGGTTCTCAGACGACCCTTTTACAGGGGTCGCCCAATTCAGAACAGTAGCAAAAATGACAGTGATGAAGTAGCAACGAGAAACATTTTATGGTTGAGAGTCACCACAACATGAGGAATGGTATGAAAGGGCTGCGGCATTAGGAAGCTTGAGAATCACCAGCCTGAGGACGGAAAGAGCTTATATTTACATCACCACAGTCAGTTCCTTGTGTTCTCTTCTTGGCCCGTCTTTTGGGCCGTACTCTAGATCCTGCTGGGTAGAAACAAGAAAAGTTCCGTGTGATAGATCCCGTCAGTGGATAAACGCTCATTACCTTGGAATGGAAGCAGGTTTGGTTTCTGTTAACTTCTGGCTCTGGGCCACTTGGGTGGCTTGGTGCTGAGCTCCCTCTCTGAGTCACCCCCCACCCCCACCCCCATTTCTTCAGTTCCATTTCTGGCGGGCTGTAGCATCCAGAGACCAGATAGAGCTAAGCAAAGCATTTGACTTCCATTGGCCTCTGTCCAAGGGGGCTGAACATCTCTGAGGGCTTGGTGAGGGTCCGCCGGAAGAATGTGGATGGCAGTGCTGGGTGAGCTGTAAAGCTCCCTGAGGATGTTGCTCAGGTTGGTCCCACGGGCATTTCCAGGGCTTGGAAAATGCTTGGGTGCTGCAGCCGGCATGGAGTGCCCAGGGTTGCTGACTGGTTAGCTTCTCACTGGGGCCTCCATCTTCATGAGTCAAGGCCAAGGGCAAGGCCAAGGCAAAGCCTCAGTAGAGAAGGCTTTTGGGACTGGTGGTAGAGCCCCATGCCCTAAACAGAGGCCGAGAGGTGTAGTGATTTGTTTAAGATCACATAGTTCATGGCTGGCTGCTATACGATGAGAAAGGAGCCTCGGCGGTGCAATGGTAAAGTTGTCGGCTGCTGATGGAAAGGTTGGTGGTACAAACCCATGCAGGCGATCCACTCTGGTCAAGCCTACGGCTTAGAAAACCTTATCCGGGGGGCTGCTCTTCTCTGTACATGGGGTTCTTGTGAATCTGAGTCTCCTCCGTGCCACCCAGCAGTGACATTCACAACATAAAATAAAGAGTGGTTATTTCTTAGTGAAACGTTGTGGTACAGCAGACACAAGTGGGAGTTTCAAAGTAGACTGAGCTCAGTTCAAATCCTGGATCTACCAATGACAGGTTGGGAACCACTTTAAGCTTCCGGTATGACATGGAAGATACTGATGTTTACCTGCAGGGCTTTGAGGGAAACCTGGGTAGTGCCGGTGGTCAAGCTCTTGAGTGCTCATCAGGAGGCTGGTGGTATGGTGTGGGTTACCAGACACCCGAGGGAGAAGGAGGTGGATTTACAGCCTGGGAAGCCCTATGGGGGCAGTTCTTTGTCGTATAGGGTCACAAGAGTCAGAAGCAACTCGATGGCAGTGGGTTTGATTTTAGGAAGGGTTTTTATTAAGGCTTAAAAAAGAATGATAATAGACAGAGAGAATAGCTGTCATTTTTCTTAGCCTGAAAAATTATGCTCTGAAGTCACCTTCTCCAGAAAGGCTCCCCTGGTCCGAGGCTGTCAGGCACCTCTGGCCTCTCGCGACACCGTGTGACTCTCATCCCACTCAGTGTCGCTCCCATGCTGCACCGTCCGGGTGGTGCCTGCCATTCTGTTGTTCTCTGAGGTCAGTTTTTGAGAACACACACAGCCTGGTGAATCTTTTTTTTTTTTTAATGGTTCAATCATTCAATCATATCAAGGAGAATTGTACAGGCATTGCCACATCAATGTTAAAGCGTCTCTCCCCACTCGCCCTTGGTTACATCACCTTTAAAATGAGTTGTACAATCACAGTCAGTTCTAGCGCTCCCTCCTCTCTTCATTATTCACTCCCTGAATCCCTATTCCCTCCCTATCACCCACCCCCACCCCTGCACTCCCTATCACCCCTTGTGTCATTTCATATCATTATGTATCATCCACTCCTCCTGTCCTAGTGAAACTTGATGTTGACTGAGTACCGTGCAAGCCCTGGTGAGCCCATGGGGTATACCTTCATGAAGACCACAGAATCCATTGATCCTCGTAGCGTCTTAAAAATCGTGATCGGTGCTGAGAAAACCAAGAGCTCTATTTTGGTGATGCTACGTGCGAGGGCCTGACGA